CCCCCCACGCCCGCCCCCCCCATGCCTACCCACAAAATCCCAGCTCGTTCCTTTACTTTAAACTGGATCCATTCACAAAAAAACAGTTTGGTTTAGAATGCTGGATATTTCCCCCACCTGTTGTCCCAAAAGCTGCGTTATCTCACAGACAAACTGCAATAGCTGCACGTTACTGAGCAATCGAGTTACCAAGAGAAGGATTTATGAAATAGAAAAACTCCTTCATTTAAGCAGAGAGACTCCCCCTTGTGGTAAATATGCTGTGGTAGGTTCAAGGTACTAGTGATCTCAACTACCTAGAATGCCTATTGTGGGCAGACTGGCAAGTAAGCAGCTACCCTACCTAAGAGTGGGCCTAGGAACACACCCAGGTGCAGATGTAGCCCACATTTTAAAGTTAGCTTGGCCCACATGAGAACAGTGATTTTACATTTTATTTTATTCAGTAAAAAAACAAAACAAAAAAAGTGTAACCTTTTTCCTGTCCATGTCTTTTAGAAGAATCATGGGGTCTCATATTGTCATTTGAATGAATTAATCTTACAACGTAACTTTCAACTTCCCATTTTTTAAATTTCCTACTTTGAAAGCTGACACCTTTAATAGATGATAAAGTAATTCTGTGTGCAAGGATTTCACTTGCTGTTTTAAAACCTGGATCTGCAAAAGTCACTTGGAATAACAGGACAGTAGGAGGTTCTGCCCGCATTTATGTTATATCTCCCTTTCAGGTATTCGTATTAAATATTTCCCCTTGGAAGCCTAGTTATCAGCCCTGATTCAACTATTTCGTCCTTAATATTAACCCAGCATCTATTAAACATTTCTTTAGCTATCTAGCCTATACTGTTAATAATTTTTGTTAAGATTTGGGGGTGGGGGCGCGAAAGACTTTTTTTGTTATAAAGTCATATGGCAAAATTCTGCAGTTAGTGACACGAGTATGAATTTAATTTGAGTGAAGTGACTTCAGATTTACACCAGTACGAGAGCAGGATTTGGCCCCCAAAATGTTATTGTTTTGTGTGATTTAAACCTTTCCTCTGCCCCCCCCCCACCTGTCAAAATAAAACAGATGTTAATATTTTAAAGCTGGTTGGTACTTGGGATGATCACTACACTTTTGTGATATTTGGTCACATCCCTATTTGATTTAGTGACATTCAAGACCAATTCAGACCCAGTGTAAGTGGTGTAACTGCGTTGAAATTAATGTTGAGTCATTTAGGTTAGTGGAGCTGGGGCCAGGTAGTAGGTCTGTATGTGGCCTTTCATTACAAATGCAAATGAAAAGCTGAATGAAAATCAATTTGGTTGCATTAGGGAGGTATGTTGGCAGGAATTGGGAGTACTGCCTGCTTACCTTCAGGGGCAGCATCTTGTCACTCTCAAGAAACCTTCTTTATACCAGGTGTGGAATGACATAGATGGACTCCAGCCAAAACGGTACACAGTCCTTTTCAGGGAGGGTCATCCCCATGACACTGATCACAGTAGAACGGGGGGAAATAAAAGCATAAAATTAGGGAATCCAGAGGACACTTAGTGCTGAACAGTCAAATCATAATAGCCTAAATGTGCATTTGTTACCTAGCTAGTCTACTGATGCCTATAGGATGTACAAACTATGGAACTGCACTGAGGTCGGTGTGAGTATCCAGTTTTATTCCTTTCCTTGGAGGGTTTGTTAGCTATCGACTCTCATTCACTTAATGGGGTACTAGTGGTGGAATCCCTTTCCTTTTTAATGGGGTCTTGTTAGCTAATGTACTGTATGTCACAAGGATCTATTTCAACAGCAATTTCTTAACACTCAAACCTAGAGAAATTCACATAAAACTACGTCTAAGTAACTGGTAGTTTTCAGAATAATCCCAGGTGCAGGGAAATTCACAGTGAAGGCAGAGAAGTCTAAGTCACGATTGGGCTGAACTCTGCCCCCTGCATTTCTCGACTGCAGCACTGAGAGCTAAATCCCCCAGCCAGATCCACAGGCCAAAAGCCAGATGAGTGCTTATCATGGCGGCAATACAGAAATGTTGTTTCTTCCAATGCTCCATGCTGCAGTGAAGGACTTAGAGCAGCTGCCCAACATGTGCCTGATTCACGTTTGCTGTGCAATCATTTGCACATTGCAAAATGGTGCAGGATGACCCAGAAAAGTAGTATTTTGCACCCCGTCTGCACAGGTATAAATTTTGCCCACAAGGGGTAAGGCAAGCAAGAACCACATCTTATACCTTCGTTGGGGCAAATGTGTCTCCAGAAGTGTGTGGTTTTGGCCAGCCAAACCCTTCTCTTCATACACAGGCTGAAATGAAGAACATTTTAAGTGCCAGTGATATTCCACCCCTTAAAATGACCCTGCCATTTGTAACACACAGAACTTCTTAATGTGCACTCAGTAGGTCAGCTAGGAAAAGGCTTTTCATAGTCTGACCAATCTTCCTTGTGGAATCACTGAAGGGGATGCGTGTGGAATGGAGCCTGGGCATTGCTTATCGTGGATTTATGGTAGTTCAGGCCTCAGTCGTGGCCTAGGCAGCGTTTTGCTACGTTGAAAATCTGTGTCCCTATCTTTCATGTGCATGATGCATGTCTTTATGACATCATGATCTGTGCTGCAATGCACTGTGCTCACAGCGAGAGCAGTGTGCAGCAGTGGGATGTTGGTTGGGCGTGGGCAACGTCTCTGCTGCCCACACCCAACCATCTGTTATGTTCCTTTCACTGGTTGCCTGTGTGGGCAAAGACTGACTTGAATGCTTTGGCTGTAAAGTTTTCAATCCTTATAAGGCAGGACATCTCCCCATTTTTCTGGTTTCTTATGTGCCGCAATCTCTGGAGGCAAAGGAGCGCTGGAGTACGGGTTTGCTCAGACATGAGAACTGTTCAAATCTTTGCCTCAAGAGACTCTGTTCTGTGGAACGCCCTTCCTTTCAACCTTAAAATTACTTCCAGGAGAGCCCTTCTTAGGAGTTTTAACCTGTTTTATTTCAGAGGGCCTTCAGCGTAGCACATTGAGTTATTTTTATGTTTTCGTACTTCGATGACTTTTATATTTTTATTGTATAGGGTGCCTAGGGCGTCACTTGATGGATAGGTACCTAATAAATGTAATTATTATATATTATGATTATCTTAGCCATATAAACTCCCTTAGGTCATTTCCGAAATTCACAACCAACCACCCACTTCAGAATGAGCACTTTTGCATTAGGAGATCAGCAAAATGTCCTGGTTTTTAGTAGGTCACTTCCTCATGCCTGCTGTAACATGTAAGCCTTCAGCCTTCCTCAGGACTTGACAATATTTTGCTGAATGAATATTTCCCACGATCTGTTACCATTCTGATTTGATAGCCTTTGGCACCTACTTTGCATCCATTTATCTTGCCCTGGTTCAAATGACGATCCACAAGGTGCAGAGCAACCGTGAATCAGGCCCTCTATTCCTTGGGCTCAGCTCTTGTCACTAAGGACTAGTCTGAACTAGAAGTTGTACGGCAGCACATCTGCACTGATGCAGCTGCACCTCTGTAGCGCATCTGGTGAAGCTGCTCTAAGCCGACGGGAGAGAGCAATCTCCTGTTGACTTAATTACTCGACCTCCGTGAGTGGTGGTAGCTATGTCGGTGGAAGAAGCTGTCTACACCACAGCTTAGGTCAATGTAATTTAGGTCGCTCAGGGATGTGGATTATTCACACCCCTGAGCAATGTAAGTTATACCGAAGTAAGTGGCAGTGTAGACAAGTCTAACATGCTCTGCTCACCATTGCATTGGGCATAACTATTTTTTTTATAACAAGAGGGAATTTGTGCATCTCTCGATCTTCTCCTCCCCCCAAAAAATCTTACTGAGTTTCTTGTCTATGGGTTACCACAGTAACTAAATTAGAGGTCCTTTTGAGTGAACTAAACTCACAAGAGATCAATCTGCCCTGCCAATGTGTCAGTTGCCGACAAACTTTTATAGAACAAAGCCATTTTGGGGACTCTTAAAAAAAGCTCTATGTGACTTCAAGACCAGCATGAGGCTTTCATGTGAATATTTCAGCATACAAACAGCTGTCTGCTCTGAAGATGTTATCCTAAGGGCAGCCTGTGGAGGGGGGTCTCTTTATAGACCAAAGCTTATTGGTCTCCCAAACCATTGTAAACATTGAGGGAGATTGGCCAATCAAGATATGTTTGGGTATCGTACAAGTAAATGTTCTGAAGTCATTATCCATCTATCACTGGTAGGTGGCAGATGTGCTGGCTAATAAACAATATTTGTAGTAATCTATGACCTCCAGTACGATATGTCTTTACTTAGAGTTCACATCACCTATCAACACTCTTCATTCCATTTTGCTTCACGCATCTTTCTGGATTAATCTGTTTTTTATGTCTTCATAAATCAAACAACACAGCATGTTGCTATGATTACATTGAAATAAAGGCCCTTTTTTCTTCCAGCTACTTTGCTTGCCCTCCACGTCTGTTTCTCAGCAGGTTCTCAGATGCCACGTAAGACTTTTAATGCCTCACAACACACTTAAAGAAGAATGAATCTGTCCTGAGGCTATGGGAAAGTAGCTCTTCTGATAAAATAATCCATGAAACTCCAAATTCAGCACTCCTCCATTCCTTCCTTTGCAATGCTAGACAGAAATAAAGGCTGCTGAATTAATCTGGAATCTTATAACACACATGACTTCTTGTCATCTGAATTGTAGCCTCTGAGGTACTTCACGATGATGTGTGCTCGCCCTCTCTCTCTCTCTCTCTCTCTGGACCAAATCACGTGTAAATTGGTGTCACTCCATTGAAGTCAATGATTCTAATAGAGCAATGCTGCTTTACCGCAGCGGAGGATGTCGCCTTTTGTTTTAAAATGTTACAAAATGTAAGTTGCTATGTGGGGATTTTCTTCCCCTCCCCCCAGTTTTTATCCTCCCTCCCTCAGTCTTTATACAGTCATTATACATATTAACAAGCCTGGTTTGGAAATGATGAATGTTATTAATACTCTTCTAAGTCAATAATCCTTCTCATATTTGAACTATGTGCAATATTTTTCTGCTTTCTTCAGCTTTCCACTAATTCAAACATATGACAAATGTGAGTCTTGGTTTCAGTTTTCTATTATTTCCCTTGTCTGATCAAATAAATTAACAGACTGTCATTCCTTTCCCAGGAGTGATGCCCATATGTTGAGGATAGCAGGGTAAAAATATTACCTGTTCAAACAGAAGAAGATAAAAGTTATTATACATTATTCACTCTTCCATGCAAACCAGACAGAGATGCTGATCCTACTCCTTTCACCTTGACAGTGCCCACCACGTGTAATGGTAAATATAGCAAGATTTGCAGAATCCACATCAGTCTGGTCTTCCTTGCACTATATTATAATTTCCCCTTACCGTCCATTCTCATCTCTTCACACAGTAAGAGTTACTTTAATCACACACAATGGCAGTAGTTACTTTAAACAATGGGAAAGAATCCACTGTCCTCTCTAATGCACACTCCTCCCAGCCACGTGGCATCAGTGTTCCCGGGCTTCATGCTGTCGAGGCAGTTTTCTCTATTTGGACAATCAAGGGAAATCTTCATAATGATTCCTACCTAGCTATTGTTGTTAGACAATGTGCAATAGGCAAAGAGATGCTGCAGGAAATGGATTCTCATTTAACTGTGTTGCATCCCATTCTCCAGACCCCTGTCATATGATTTACCATTCTCCTACCCACCCCAAATTGCTAATGTAAAAGGAAGGCTACTTCCCTCACTACAGGTCTTTATTTGATATATGATGATGTCATGATTGATCTGCAGCTGTACAGAAACTGGGTTATACACGCTGTACCTTTGGCATGCTGAACCAAGAGTTCTGCTCCTTTACTACCTCTCTCTCTCTCTCTCTCTCTCAATATTTCATAGCCGTTAAGACCCTGAAGGAACCATTAGGATCCTCTAGTCTGACCTCCTCCATTTCTTTTAATGGGGCACAGCTGTTTACAAAATATGCCTTACAGAGACATATGAGGTAATTTGCTGTCTGAATTCAGGCACTAATATCAAACGCTTCCATACTTGTATCTCAGTTGTGTGTGTTTGTTCTAAAGATGGAAATGCATAAATCAAAATTCCAGGTTCAAGATGTGGAGTTAAGTATCAGAGGGGTAGCCGTGTTAGTCTGTATTGGGGATAGGCAACCTATGGCACGTGTGCCAAAGGCAGCACGCGAGCTGATTTTCAGTGGCACTCACACTGCCCAGGTCCTGGCCACCGGTCCGGGGGGAATCTGCATATTCATTTAATTTTAAATGAAGCTTCTTAAACATTTAAAAAACCTTATTTACTTTACATACAACAATAGTTTAGTTATATATTATAGACTTCTAGAAAGAGACCTTCTAAAAACGTTAAAATGTATGACTGGCACGCGAAACCTTAAATTAAAGTGAATAAATGAAGATGCAGCACACCACTTCTGAAAGGTTGCCGACCCCGTATCCACAAAAACAATGAGGAGTCTGGTGGCACCTTAAAGACTAACAGATTTATTTGGGCATAAGCTTTCGTAGGTAAAACCCCACTTCTTCAGATGCATGGAGTGAAAATTCCAGATACAGACATAAATATACTGGCACAGGATCCCTACTCTTCATGTGCCAGTATATTTATGCTTGTATTTGTAATTTTCACTCCATGCATCTGAAGAAGTGAGGTTTTTACCCATGAAAGCATATGCCCAAATACATCTGTTAGTCTTTAAGGTGCCACCAGACTCCTTGATGTGGAGTTAGTTTCAGAATTTTAACTTACTAGTCTAGAAAGACATAGGCTAATGTAAAATGATTGATATTTTTAAATAAAACACTGTGGTCCCAGTAACTTTCATTAATGATTTTGCATCAGTGAGAATAATTAATGCAAATTGCATTTAAAAAAAACACTGTTACTTTGTTCTGCCCTTATGAGAATGCAATTGCTTTTTAATTGCTTTTTTCAAATAGTGTCACCTGTTGAACTTCCGTTTACAGTCCCAGTTTTGCACACCAGCCTTCCATAATTTTAGAGAGATAACCCTTGCTAAAATAGGCCTGCTTTACCTATTGCTGTGGTTAGCTCAGGGATGTCAGGCTTGGAGTGCTGAAGAGAGAACATTGCTCAGGTTTTCTGGAGCAAACCCATGTGAGTGAACTAGTTGAACATCTGTGTCACTGTGTAATCCTTAAGGTCAAAACAGGTGTGGTTCCCCCCTACTTCCCATTTGCATAGGAAGAGAAAATGGATGCAGGTTTTTTTAGTTTTACTTTCTTTACTTTCAAGCTATTTGAAACTAAATCACACAGACAAAAACCACCTACTTTGAGAAACTATGGGATTTGTCCATTTCTTCAGGCCTCTGGGTCTTTTGTTTTGGTTGTTGGTTAGTCTTTATGTAGGGGCCATGAATCTGCATTCCTTGTGAATCCAAAACATGCATGACCTCGACAGCTGTTTTGAGTGTGCAAGGAATGCAGGATCAGCCCCTAATTCATAGCAGGCACAACCTGGAGTGGGGGAAGCGAGAGCAAAGGTGGACCTAAGATACCTTTGTGTCTCCTGAATTTGGGGTGCTTAGGCTGCAGTACACCCCATTCTACATCCTACCTGCTGCACATGGGCATGATGGCTGGTGGTGACTCTGGGTTCGAATTCCCGTAACCTGGAGTACAGGGTTCTTTCATGGTGTGCAGTGGGGAGGAATGGGAGAGGGGGTCCCACTGCAATCCAGGCTCTTTTGTGGCACCAGGGATAAGGCTAGTCGTGAACTGGGATATAGAGTTTCCAGCCTGCAGATAGTAGGAAATGCACTGAACTGCTGTAGATTGCAAGCCGCCTTTGTGGTTATTGTGATCTCCCTGCTAACACCGGTGCCAGCGGGGTTTGTGTCTGTGTCCCAAGGGATTGACATAGCCATTCCAATGGCTGGGGGGAAATAATATTCTGCTGACTTCCTTAGATTTGTTCCTTCTTCCTCTCCATCCCCCCTTTTGAAGCTATGGTTTGAAAAGAACTCATAGATGAAAGACGCTGTATGTAAATAAAGGTAAGACAATGCCAGCAAACAGCAAAACCAGCAGTGACCATTCCAGTCCCAGATAAATCATGTAATTTGTATTGACTGTAAAAAATAAAAATAGAAATCCTGTAATAATATATTTTTTAAAAATCAGACAAAAACACTATCTGAATAAAGTTCAAGTTTTGACAGAAGGCAACAAAGCCAGATGAGCTCCAGTTCATACTAAAAATAATTCATTCTCAATTCAGACCATAGGCACTGGAACTAGGGGTGCTGTTGCACCCCCTAGCTTGAAGTAGTAAGAACCCCAAATACATGGTTTCTGCTTACAGCACCCTGACTATAAAAATAATTGTTCCAGCATCACTGCATTGTCTGTTTGCCATGCCAGTGTAAAGTTCTCATTCCCTTGGAATCCCCTGTCTCTTGCTAGGCTAGGGACCAAGCTTAACTTGAAAGTAGTTTTTAAAGGTACCTGTTTACAAACCCCCATGCTAGTCTATTATTCTGTGGGGGGTCTCCGGCCATAACCAGAAGTATGATGGACATTACTCAAAAAGCTATGTAGGATGCTATAGTGTATATTGAGGGCGGTGTAATAACATAAATAACTTCAAACAGATACAATTTAGATAAGAGTGAGAAATTTTAAATTACAAATGGGAAATTATCTTGACTCAATTACACATTTAATCAAAAACGACCCTGCACTAGTTAGAAGCAGTATAAAGGCAAAATACGGTGCTTATAACTAAAACGTGATAAAATCTTACAGTCTAAAGGAAGGGACAAAACTCATTACAGATAAGCAGCGCTCCCATTTCCCTCGGATTGCTTTTTATTTAAACGCCAGGGCTAAAAAGGAAATCGCTTCCAAGTATCTGCCAGAAATCAGCCTAGCCTCTGGGCGCTGATCATTGCAATGGGCTCCCTTTAACCTCAACTCTGAGCCGGAGATCAGGACCCTGGGATCCTCCAAATATTAAACATCAGCAGCAAAAGCCTCTGGCCGTTCTTCGTATGATGATGATGTCTCAGATTAAAACGGCAGAACATCCGTCCTGGTGTCTGCTATTGTATCTCGGTAGTGAGCCAGGCTCCTGCCAAATAGATCGATACTGCTTTAAACCCCCCTGCTGTCAGGAAATTGAAAAAAAATATGCAGCCGCGGGCCTGATTTGCAAACGGCTGGAAGGAACGCGCCGGAGAGAGACTGCGAGCGTGTGTCTGTAGCCAGCAGGGTTTGCAGGCGAGTGTGGCGTGAGAAACGAGATGTACAGTATGTGAGCGCATGTGTGCATTCCACACACACACACACACACACACACACACGTGTGTGTATACCGTCTACGCACACAACAAGTGTGCGTGTGCACACCCATGCTCCCGCAGACCGAACAGAGGCTGGCTCACACACACGCCTATTTTTCACCTGCAAACGCCTCCTGGGTTTCCAGCGGAGGGACTGGAGGCCAGAGAGAGACAGGGGCCATGTGTGCACGGCCCCTTTAAGAGCCCCGGGTGCGCGCAAAAGCCCGACTCCCCTTTTCCCCGCGCGCCCCCGCCTCCTCTCTCCCTCACTCCGCTTTAAAGTCTGAGCCAGGCGCCGGGCTCACATGGTGCGTCCTGCATGGAGGAATGGAGCGCGCCCGGCTGCCGTCTGACCGCCGCCGAGCCGCCGCTGCCCGGGGCACGGACTGAGAGCCTGCGCCCGGCCCCTGCCATGGCTTGGCCCCGGAGGCTGCCTGCATGAGGAGCGAGGGAGAGCCCCAGCTCCAGCCCCGCCACGGCGCTTCTCCTCCGGCCGCCGCCGCCGCTCGGGGAGTGAAGTTCTGAGCGCTCCCCGGGAGCCGACCCAGCCGCCGCGGGGCTGCTCCGGGCCTGGCGCTTGCTGCGTCCGGGACCTGCTGCTCCGGCCCCCCAGCACCCCCGCTTTGCCCCCGGCCGGGGCGGGTGACCCGGGGACGTGGGGCGGGGTTGGTCTGGTTGGCTGGCTGGGTTTTTTTGGGGGGGTGGGTGGCTGGCTGGGGAAAGGGGGAGGACAAGCGGCAACTTCTTCTCCACAAGTTCCAGCCCCCTCCTCGCCCCCTTTCGATGTGCGCCTTTGGACATGCGGAGGCTACTGCAACCGTGTTGGTGGATCTTTTTCTTGAAAATCACCAGCTCCGTGCTCCAGTATGTGGTGTGCTTCCCCGGTGAGTGGCGCCGGCCGCGGGGGGAGCGGGGGTGTGTTTGAAAATACAGGGCTCCTGCTTTGCGCGCTCTGCTGCACCGCCTGGCCCGTGGGGGGGCTGGGGGTCCCCAAGGGTGCGTGGCTGCTGCCTCTCCCCGGGGGGCTGGCTGTGCGTGGGGCGGGGGGGGGCGCTGGAGAAAGGGGGAGGCCAAGCGGCAACTTCTTCTCCACAAGTTCCAGCCCCCTCCTCGCCCCCTTTCGATGTGCGCCTTTGGACATGCGGAGGCTACTGCAACCGTGTTGGTGGATCTTTTTCTTGA